GCTTCCGCTTATACGATGAAAGCGGGAAAATCCCCCTATTGGCCTTTTGGGGAAGAAAGCGGGGGGTCGAGAAGCTGACACGTGGCCCATCATCTTCTACTCGTTGGAACCTCCGTTGCACCCCAAATTACCAATTCTACCCCCATGTCGCAGCGAGGATTACCCCTGGCTGACTGGTAAATTAGCCGTTTAAAGCAGGGGTGTTATTGGAAGTTCCAGTGGAAAATATCTGAGCCGTTACAGCCGAAGATGACCTCTCCTTTGGAGGCAGACAACAACAAAAAAAAAGCATGTTAGGTAGTCCACGAACTTATTCTGATACGTGGCAACTGGGCTTTTATTGGGCTTATAAATTCAATATGTTGTAGCTAGAAAGAAGGAATCCCGGCCCAATAGCTCGTATAAAGCTCTAATTATTATACACATCCGTACACAAAATATGTATGTAGTTTGGAAGTTAAAAAAAAGCTCTACATTCAAAGAAAAATACATATATTGAAATGTAATAACCAATTCATCTTCGATTAATAATAATGAATAGCTTCGACAATAACTCCAATGATTATTTAGGTTTTTGATTCACTTCTTGTTGATAGACTCCACCTTGCCGTCGTTACCACCGAGCAAAAGATACTTATCCTTGCGGGTAAGCTCTGTGCATTCGAAGCCCAACGCGTCTCCGATAACTTTCTGGACGTAGTTAGCCACTTCGAACGGAGTCTTACCGCCCCCTTTCACAGTCATTTCTTCAGGCAAACGATCCAAGAAAGTGACCTCGTAGCTCGGTCTTGGGTTCATGAAGAAGAAGTAAGGGTCCCAAAACTTCACACCTCTCACCGTCGTCCCGTTGAACATTCCTTGTTTACAGTTCATCGCCACTGGCACGATCCTGTCGCTTAGCTCCGCGAACAAAGCGCTGAATCTCAGTAGATACTCTTCTCTGCATGTCGTGCCTTCCGGGCATATCACCAAGTCACCTGTTTTACACCAAAAGTTCAAAACAAATGCTTAAGTACATGTATATTATTCTCTTAAAACCAAAAACCAAACCAAAACTTGGACTGGATACTATTAGGAATCTTATATTGAATTAAAATAAAATTTAAATAACGTATAAGATACATGGATCAATCCACTAATTGTCAATTATAATTTGTAAAAGGCATCCTCTAGTGTTATATGTATAGCAATTTGATGAAAGAAATGCATTACCTTTCTCGAGAAGTTTTCTCATGCGGGCAGCATCGGCAACGCGGTCACGGGTGAGTGCAACAGCAGGAATAGGAGAAATCATAAGAGAGAGACGAGAGACACTGTAAGTGACGCAACAGATCTTCCGTCTAAGAGCAATAGCAACGATGATGGGATCAAGTGCAGTACGGTGGTTGAGAACGTAGAGGTTTCCAGGAGTTCCAGGAGAAGGAGGCGGAGGACGGTGGCCACGAATGGTTAAGCGAATCCCGAGAATCTCGTAGCTGTAACGAACAAAGTGTCTTGGTAAAGGGAGATTGAAGTAGACGCGAACAATAGAGAGGACGAAGCCGAAGGGAAGCCAAAGGTATGTGATAATGGCGTTTAACGGCGTTGGACGTTGGACTAAACGGCCGTCATGGAAAATTATGCGGTTTTTCAAACGCTCTTTTGGAAATGTTGTGGCTGACTTTGTTGCATGAACCATGTAACCTTTCTGTTACAAGAAATGTAAATTAAAAGAGTTATGTAAGACGACAATTCAAACCATAGAATATAACATGTCTCGAAATTGTATAATCAAGATTTACACTTTTCTTACAATATTTGGTTCATTAAATGGAGGAGTGACCAAAATGTGGGTGGTACTAGTAGCCTAAACTAAAACAATTGAAGGGTCCCGTGAAGTGATAGGTTGGGTATATTTATGAACCTTTAACTACTAAATCAACATTAACATTATTTTGATAAGACTCACGCATTCACATTAAACCAGTCAACAATTTACCTTGCAAATAGACATGAAATCGTGATCGGAGGTTCGATCACCGATACCGAGTTCGGGCGATTCGTCGCCAAACTCTTTCAATATAGCTAATCTCTTCAAGTCACCAACAAGAACACCAGGCTTCTTCACAAATCCAGTAGCTCTTTTTGTTATGGGATTCACTTCAATCTCTGTTCCCAAAACTTTATCTCCTCCAAGATAATCCTTCACGAACGCTTCCACCATCACTACCGGATTAGCCGTCACCACCACTTTCCTCTTACATTTATCAAACACATCAAAACTATCTTTCCTCACATCCGCCGCGTAAAACCTAACAAAACCCCATAATTCAAATTCAAATTTCGAAAACGG